TACATGTCTATAAATGAGTACATATAATAATGTAGCGAGCGTGCATCAGCTCTCTCGTGCAACTTCCAAGTGCAACATGATGTAGCTATACCGAACGTCGCCGAAAGCTCTATTATAGCGTGTGCATTTAATAACATTTTTTTGGAATATTTTTGACAACTGCGATGCATAAAAGAGGATGTATCGACAGCATCGCAATAATGATGATGATTTGCCATGTGCATTTTCCGGCATCTTTCGCAAGCAACTCATCAATCAAATTTTTTCACGATATTATATCGATGATGTAAAATCCTCTCATAACCAATCAATAATCTGCACATTTACTTTTCGTTCAATGGCAAAATTAAAGTCTTGTAAAGCACGGAAAAAAGAGATATATAGATTAGTCTAATACAAAGAGATTCATCGACTTTCTTCGTATATAAAGGATCGATTGGGAAAGCGAGTTCTGTTGGAGCTTGCACGTACCACTTCTTTTGTCTGGCTTTTCTATTCTAATAGACTCTATTCATAAAAATCCAATTAAATTTGTTAAAAAATACAGATCATACGTCGTATAACACGTTATATCTTCCTTCGTACATTGTGTAATTATTTTCATTGAGCATAATAAATCGAATAATTTGAGTTGTTTTACATCGCGCATCATTTGGACCTGGAGGATGTTAAATAATTAAATGTATTGCGAGTCACTGCTCCACGAAAAATGCGTACAAAATGATATTGTTCTGGAGCCTCTCCCGGTAATTTGTATTGCTCTGATTTTTCTCAACTGCGAGCCACGTAACAGCCCCCGACAATTCGTGCGTATGCACACTCGAGTAACCCAGTTTTGAAGCCTATACGCAAATGCGAAAAGCTTCGCGTGCCCATACGAAATAATCACGCAAGCGCGTATACATACACGAAAGTCGGCTCGTAATTAAATTGGGTACATCAGCGTTGTTGTTGCGTTGTTTTCCTATATAGTTGCCGTCGTCGACAAAAATAATCTCTTCTTTATTATATTTATGAATCCGCTGTACTTTGCGTCACTCGTACTGAGCCATACACTCGCAGTATACACACGCGAGATTCGACGAGACCGAGTATGAGCACTGTGAGTGTGTGTGTGCGTGTGCATGCAAGTACGCACACACATCGAAACGCAGTCGCACATAGGAATATTATTACGTTTAATGGTATTCGGCCAAGTGTTTACAGGTCATGCATGCAATCGTGGATAATTTTATAGCACAACACGTGAGCGCGCGAGCTATAGTGTAGGGCTGGGAAAGAGAGAGAGAGAGAAGAACGCGGTGCTACTGCTGCACATACACACACATGCATAACTATGTACAAACACATAGGCTCGCGCGCAGTGATATACCTTTTGTCACGCTCGCGCGCGAGCTATAATTAATTACCACTCGTCGACGAGGGCGCGCATGAGTGGGTTGTATTATTCTACACGGTCGGGGCCGCCGCCTGGCCTACAACGCCGCTGCGCCTAAACGTGCTGGATAAACAAGCCACGATAATTAAGCCTATATCCTTTATGTCAAACTCCGGCGCCAGACCATGCTTTTGCGAATCTTTGAGATTAGTAGAAACATCAAGATACACGTGCAGAGTGTAAATTCGTAATCATCCTAATGGCCCTCGCAGATACAAATACGTATAAGCAGACGAGCGTATTTTACGCCAGAGGCTGATTTTAGCTTATCAGGTGCGCGCCTACAAAGGCCGAGAGATATGAGCACTTGGCTATGCACCGACTCGAGCCCCTTTTATTTTCGTGTACAACCGAACGGGATTACCAGTGCTATTTATGTCACTTATCCTTTTTACGAGCTTTGTCCTGTGGTCAAAGTATACATACGCCAATGTACAGTCGATCGTGTACTTTGTTAAATGGTAACGCAGCCATCGCAGCTCTTATTTATATAACGGCCTGTAGCGCATCTCACCGCGCGCTGCCAAGACTTAATCTCGGCGGCTTATTCAATTTCACCCGTGTCAATCACAGGATTTCAACGGCGTTGAAATGAGATGGAGCTTTAGTTGTTGCCTTTTTTTTTCATAACCTTGTTTATATCGATTGAGAAATGTGAGAAGGCTTGATTACGGCTAAGCCTTCGTGCAACGTAATTTATTCTCTACGTGAAATGACTCATATTATGCACCTGTTAGATATATGGATAGTTATATTACATAATGGTCGCATTAATAATTGTGCTGAAAACAAATGGATTTCTCATTATTTGTAAATGGAACGGCGTGAAAATAATAGCAGGTCGATTAATTAAGCTCGAAGAATGATAAGACGAAAAAATATAATGCGATAGCTGTGCGATATAATACACTCGCGCTGGCGGTGCGAGAACGGGCGGCTGTGCAAGTGTTTTGTCCTCTGGGTCGAGTTGAAATTTTTTACATTTAATATTCATCGCGAACGCAGTCAGCAAGATAACATGCTAAATGTTAATTTTGCTCGCTCACTTCGTGCTCATTCGCGATCCCCGAGTTTCGAGCTCATGGAACGAGCTTCGTCAGGACGAAAATTTATGCGGCTTGCGCGCGCGCCCGTCACCGGGCACCGGGCATGCAGCAGTGGCCCCAGCCAATGCTGCGCGCCACGTATACGTATATGTGTGTGCGGCCTGTTATTAATGAGAACACCTCCCACTACGATACCCGGCGCGCATCGTCCCACTGTATATACCTTAGCGATTTTCCTCCCAAGTGTACCTGTGTACTCGCATCGCATATAGGTCGCTCACGTCCCTGTATGCGTGCATGTACCTATATGCAGATATTGGCTAAATAAGGCCAGATAAAAAAGCTCCCGTTGCTGTTACGCAGGGCCGTTTACTTGAAAATCTTTTTCGACTCTTCGAATGATCGCTATATGTGATAACCAATGCGGACGACTCATCCGTACTCTCGAATGCAATTGTATCTTCTGGCGGTCTCGTGATCGCTTTTATTTCTCTTTCACGCGCTCGGTCTTACACAGGCGGATAAATTCAATGAGCCGATGGACAGAATTGCCTCATAGTTGGCTCTTTCGTGATTTAGCGATTTCACGCGGAGCCAAGTGACGATGGAGATGGCCGTACGGATGTAGGCTCATGCGTGCAACTAATGGCGAATTGAAGGATCGATGAAAAGCTTTGTCCCGATAATCAATTATTTTAATGGACTCGTGATGGATCCAGGGCTGCTCTAGTTACTCGCTCCCTTCAAAGCAGAGACGGAAGTAGTCGAAGCCAGTGGTATGAGGGTACCTCCGTCGTAATTGTAGAGATGGACCAGTTCTCGATTTCGCTAATTACAAACTTTTGACGTGGATAATTCGATTATTGCACTCAGCATGGGCGATGCCGAGCGAAAATTCTAATCCAATGCACCGAGTGACCGTGATTAATGAAACATATTTTCTCATCGTCGAATATATACATACAAACATGCGGATCTCTCACCGCTCGCACACCTGCGTGCGTTTGGCGAGTTTTGCCAAAGCTGCAGCGTATAGTAATGCGCATACCAAAGCAGGCCAACTTTCCCTGATAAATATGATGCACGAAAAGTTTTGGTATTAATGTTTTTTTGACACCCAACAAACTCACGGCAGAGCCTGGGCAAAGGCACGATAAAAGAACCTATATAAAATAGGGACGCGCGCACAGCGTGCAGCCAGATGGAAGTATAACTTTTTATTTTGAAAAAAAATCTATTCGTATCTATAGAGCGCAGAGCTTTTCTGCGTGTATGTATGTCTGTATTATAACGTGACGCCAAGCCATTAATCATCGTGTGGCACATTTGTAACAAGCTATGCACCTTCATATGCAAGCAGCGAATTCGGTACGAAGAAAGCGAGAAACATGTCTTTGCACACCTACATACGAGCAGTCGCAGACGCATGCATATCAAAAATAAGCATACATATTTGGTGTGTATAATTTCTAAAAAGTTAAAACACCACTTTAACATGCTTTGCCGAATTCAGTTATGCTATTTATGGTTCATTTTCATTTTTTGTGACCAAGTCAAATAAATCATAAAAATTGAATCTATCTAAAGAATCAGGAAAGTAAACACCAATAATTATAAAAAAAGTAGTCAAAAAGTTGTTATAGCTGCGAGAGCTAAAAAAGCCTCGAAAAAGCTACATAAACATTTCGATATTTCTCGAAACTCAGAAACGTAAATTGACGTAATACTTTACTAGCGCAATAGTAAATATTTTGTCGAAAATAAAAAAAGGGGAAGGGGAAAATTGACCGAGCAATTGGAATTTAGATTGAACCGAGAATTCTTTGCACGCGTGTTATACGAGCTTATACTCTCGGAGCGTAGCGCACATAGCTTCTGATGGCGGTAAAATCAAGTATCCCCATATTATCGATTCGTTAAAACGGGTTGAGCGGCGTTGACGGCAGCGGTGCAGCCCCTTTCAAGTGTGCACACGCGGCAAAGAAGAATCGGTAATAGGGTATTTGCAGCGCGTCGTCTCACGGAACGGGGCGATATTAATTACGATCATTAATGATCTGTTTGCTCGTCGCGAGCGAGCATCGCTTATGTATCTACGTATATGTATATCCGTGCAGGCAGAGCCGCTGCCTGGAAGGATGTGCTACTGCACTCCAGTTACTGCTCTCGAGCAACTGCAGCAGCAGTAGGCAAGGCTATATTAGCCACGGTATAGCATACGGCGCGTCGCTCGGCTAGCTGCTCCTACGGCAGAGCGACGGTAATTTACAGTGCACTGGCTCGGGCCGCGCACCGAGAATCGCACCATGGGGACTCTGCAAAACGCCCCCTCCCTGTGAGAATCTATACATATATATGTACATTATATATATTCCGCAGTAGCTCTCGCGACAAATTTCCAATCATAGCCCCTCGACGCATGCTCGTATGCGTATCTATGAGTGTGTGTGTGTGTGTGTGTGCGCGTGTGTATGGATGTGCGAGCTACAAGCTACGTACATAGGACGCGCTGCGATATGTACCGTGCCAAGTACGTGTACAGGCTGCAGCAGCAACAGCAGCGAGCGAGCTACGAGATCGACGTTATAGGTGGTGGCAACGGCTGCTGGATTGGTGGTAGTGGCAGCGGCGTCATCTCGGTTTCGCCAAACCACATACGCTCGCTAATTGGAAATCTACACCTACTCTCGAGCTTTATATGTCGTCTGCGCGCACTGCGTACAGCTCCAGCTATACACGTTTGCGCGCGTATACCCGTGCATTTATATACATATATGTATACGCGGGTGCTATCGTATGTGGCACCTACCTATGTATGTATGTACCGCGTATATTACTATATGTCGTATGCGGCTGATTATACATAGGTATAGCTGTGGCTTATGTGTTTCGAGAGAGCTACGACAAACCCGGACGCGATATGGAGAGAGAGAGAGAGAGAGAGAGAGAGAGCTAGGACATGCTTATACTGATAACTTGTTAATTACTAGTTAATTTCATTGCACCATCTCGCTCTAAGCCCTGCGATTCCCCGTCGTCGTAGCCGTGTTTGTCTGCCCTTTTTCATAAAAAATATTTTTCCAACTGTTAACATAATTCATAGCATGCCTCGTAAATCGTACTATAATTACTTGTACCAGTTGTAATTCTGACTCTTTAAAACTGTCAAAATGCATCGTACTCCTTTCGAAAAATGCAAGGACAATTATTATTTATACTTTTTACCTTTTCGTTTATGTTCATGCTTTAGGCGTATTACATTCTGCAAGCTGTTGACCTATTAACACGCAAGCGGCCGTACTCGGATACTCGACAAAAATCAACTTTTCGGTGTTTTGGAACGACAGTATCGATACTATGAAAGGGAAATTAATTGGCTATATTTTCGAAGGCTAGTTATTATTCTTGACTGAAATTCCTCTAAACGGATAAAAATGGGGTTGAATTGAAAACTTGTCAGATAAAAAAATTGTGAGTGAACGTAGTAAAAAATTATTTGCAAAGCTTAAATTTTTATTGAAATCTTTTTGAATCGTACTCGTGGTGTAACATAAATCTACTTACAACCTTTATCAAACGATAAAAACAATGAACTCGTTCTAAACATTTTTTCGTTCATTTTTCACGAAAATAGTCAATAATTTTTCTCGTTAAGCGTTTTATCTTGATTTATATTATGATACAAGTACAATTTTTTAATTTCATAATGAAACAAGTAAAGGTTTGTCTGGCATTTTTGCCCGACTAGAAGAACGGAATTTCTCCGTTTAGAAGAGGTTTTATTTAAAAATAAAAACCAGATTTCGAAAAAACATCCAATTTTTTCCTAATCCATATCGATATTGTTGTTTAAACCCCAGAAAAGATGTGTTTTTGGTTCTCGAATGATCCTGAACATCCACTTAGACATTAATGGGTTACCATTACTGAATGTACAACTTTCCGCAATAATATTAAATTGCAAGGCTAATTTACGAAAATTTTCGAAGCTTGCTGATGTACGAGGCAGCCATAGTTTCATTTTAATTTAGAATTACTCGCGAGAAGCTAGGAATGTTTAGCTCTATTTTGTGGATATTGTACCAAATTCCAAACTTTTGCGGGAATTTATTCGGAAATAAATAACATTTCATACTCGTCATGAGAACTGCTTCATATACTTTTTGATTAAATTTATTTTTATTATTCCCAAGATTTCTGAGGTAAAAGTGAATAAAGGTGATAATTTTTTTCAAATAAATAAAATTAAAAAAAAAAATTATGAAAGAATTTTTTCTATTATCAAAATAATTCAGTACTACTACGAATTGTAATATAGTTACAGTTTATATAGCAATATAAAGTTACAGTGTACGATAACGAACTGATAAACATTTTAAAAGAACGTTGATTGAAATTCCATTCAAAATAACAAACTTCTTGATACATAAATATTCTATTTCATTAGCGTCAATCTCTCGAGACAGTGACACTTGAATCGATTGTACGTCGAGCTTTTGCAAGAATATCATTTCATTTTGTGAAAGTGTACCTTTTTGCACAGCTTGATTATACATTATTATATCTAACAGGGTATGACTATTTGTACACTATGCCAAAGCCAACCGGGTTAACAGTAGCATCTGTCGATGCAACTCATTCATATTTCAGCAGCGAGCTGCACATGGCCCAAATCCAGTGCAGAAGCTTTCACCCTTTCTCTCTCTCTCTCTCTCTCTCTTCCAGCAGTTGATTTTCGTTCTTTCGCACGAACAGCAAACAAACAGCAGAGGCTAGAACAGCTCTTTCTCTCTCTCTCTCTCTCTCTTCGATTCGAAATACTACACTCGTCCATGTGTATAATGTGAACGTGAGAGCATGTGAGTGTGTGTATTTACTTAGAGTGCAGCTGGAGCTGGAAAAAAATGGAAAGGGCAAAAAAGAGGGAGAGAGAAAGGAAGCTTTGCTGGTAGCAATAGCGATCGTTCGCGAAGCTTTTCACTCTAGATTTATTCGACTATTCCGCCCACTCGTGTTTTGGACGCGTAGATCGCCGCTCACCACGCCGCCATCATTTGTCCGTCTTTATTTTCCCGGTGTATCTCGATCTCTTATCCTTCTTAAATTGTCCAAGTCGAATATGTAGAAAAACGAGTGATACGGTTTCGAGCTGAGCATGTTCGCACGCACTGTACGTAAACTTTTTTTTGCCTCGACGTTGTTGCGAGAAGTCCAGTAAGAGAGAGAGAGAGTTACATGCTAACAGAAATCGATGCCGAAAGAATCGAGCCAGCCATGCTTATCATCGTCTTTTTTTCCTACTCCAAGCATCCCTCCTATAATATGTCCTTAGAAAATGCACTTTGCTGCTGCCGCTGTTGCTGCTTTACCTTTTTCAGTTCAAGGCAGCCCTCTCATTCTCCATTTTTCTTGAGCACGTCGTATAATACAGCATGTATCTAGACATTTTTTCGTTCATGCTCTTGGCTTGACCAAGCTTTATATGACTGAGAACTATATATAGGGAGCCATGTAAGCTCGAAAAAACCTACCCACACACCCTTACACATACAGCAGCATCTAAAAATTCACAAGTGTATAGATATACGCTTATATATATAAATGTAATACCACGAAGCGAGACAGGATATATGTTTTATTTAGAGCGGTCTTTGCGCTCGTTATATTGTTGTTTTGACTGCTTTCTCGAAGGCTACGAATTTATGGCCGAACGAAGATGGGCTGCTGTAGTTGCAACGCTCGAAAAAATTCGTCCACCGCGTGTAAGCGTGTTGTGTCTAGAACGAAATATAGTCAAGAAACGTTGGGCAATTTTGCTGGTCAATTTTTTGCCAAAGAAATTTATTTGAGACGCGGTAATGTTTCAGAGTATACAAGTGTTGCCATCAGCCACATACATATTCGTATTAGACTGAATATATAGGCGAGGAACGTGGGAATATGCCGAGAGAACCGAAAGTCGATTTTTCAAGATTCGACTAATTGAAAAAGTTGTGAAATTTGAGTCAGTTGCTGCGCAAGTCGATCTATATGGTTTATCAAATTGATCTCGAACTTCTGCATTTTCTCTTACTCCCATTCCGAAATTAGCTTTTTCTCGAGGTCGCATCGAGAGCGCAGCCAGTAGCAGCAACTCTTGCCCTGTTTGTGCCAGCATTATATGTATGCAAATTGATACTTTCCTGTACACTTATTCGAGTGAATTTTTCTGTCCTCGCATTATATGTATATACAGAACATTCGAAAGCACAAAAACGAGTTGGTAAAAATTATATTTAAACTCGCTGAATCAGTACTAGATTTAATTTGAACTTAAGATTGGGCCAGTGCTTGATTTTTGGAAGAAAAATACGAACTCGTAATCGTTACATTTAATAAATGAATTATTCTCGTACGTTTAATAGTTTAATGATCAATATTTGAAAAGCTATTTATTGTAATAGTTTGATTGATGAATAAAAATGCCTAGAGAATGATCTGAATGTTCTCGGGGAGGTGCTTGAAAACTTATTGCGAAGCTCAAGTTTTCTCAACTCTTCGGCGCCTCGCTTCGGTGCTACTATGAAAAGCTGCTCCCCATAGAACAATAAATACGAACGTTAAAAAATGTAAAGTGACGTAGTCGGACGTAAAGCTCGGGTGGGTAGACGGAAAACGTTGTAAACGTACGAACGAGATCATCTCTCGCGCGCAGCTTGTAATGCTCGTGGCGTTCTTTTGGCCGGCTATATAATACGTGAAACCTACTCCAGACGGTTAGCAAGAAATTAATTCTCGTTTAATGCAGTCTCTGGTTAGCATTGCAAATCTCTAGCTCCTCGGCTACTGTTATTGCTCTTGGCCTTTTCTTCACCTCGCGCGCTCTTTATCTACACTTAGAGACCTCTGGGGAGGACTCCTCGGCAGCACCGCCGCTATACCGCTCCTTCTTTTTCTCTCGCCTTCCTTTCATCCCATCTTAAACGTCTTCAACTTGATTTCGCCCATTCATTCTTATGTTGCACTACTTTTTTCCTTCGCTTCGCTCCATGACGTATTATTAAGAAAATCTCGTTAGATCTTTGGTCTTTGCTATATAGTTTTTTCTTCACTGGCTCACGTATCTTTATTCTCTTCGTATATACTCTGCGATCTCTCGGCACGCTCTTATACATGTATATAAACTTTGTCTATTATTTAAGGATTTCTTTGTGAAAAGACCATTGACATTTTTCCAGTGACTATAATCATCTTTTCTCTTTCGTTCTTATTTCACATAGTTTCCCTGTGGCAAAAGTATTTGCTAAAGTTTAAAACAAAACTTTATTTTTCTTTATTATCTTTTCATACCAGGCAGGCATCAAATAGCTCACGGAAGTGGAAGCTTGACAAAAACACGCGATTTGAAAAGCTTCACGAATTTGTACTCTTTATTGAGACGAAAAATTTAATTTACGTTTGATTATGTAATCCACGGTGAAGCTCAGTTTTCACCTTTGTGCAAGGCTGTTCGAATACTTGATAAATGTATGTATTCTATATCTTAATGAATTGTATCATCATTATAGATACGACGTGCTTCATTATGCAGATTTGCTTAAATGAACATGTACGCACGTGCGAGTATTGGTAAATTCGTTTGTGTACGTGTACGAGTGTG